TTCAGTAGGGTTTGCAGCAAAATGTCAGAAAGACAAATCATTCCAATTCAAACGTTCCTCTGGGCACGTGGAATAGGTGAGAGGTGGCAGAGGTACAGAGAATGATTAAAGAGCTCTCCAGTGCAGAGCATGCTACGCAGATGTCAGTTATCAGTTAGAAAGTCAACAATTTGGAAGCTTTGCAGGTTCTGTGCCTGGTCTAGCACAGACACAATGAAGATAGGCACAGACCTGTTTTCTATTTTGTGTGTGTGTGTTTTTGAGACGGAATCTCGCTCTGTCACCAGGCTGGAGTGCAGTAGTGTGATCTCGGCTCACTGTAACTTCTGCCTCCCAGGTTCAAACAATTATCCTGCCTCAGCCTCCTGAGTAGCTGGGACTACAGGCGTGCACCACTACACCCAGTTAATTTTTGTATTTTTAGTAGAGACGGGGTTTCACCATGTTGGCCAGGATGGTTTCAATCTCTTGACCTTGTGATCTGCCAGCCTTGGCCTCTCAAAGTACTGAGATTATAGGCGTGAGCCACCGCGCCTGGCCAAGACCTGTTTTCTAACCTTTGATTACAGGTTAGAAAAGAACGTTCAAGATTCTTTTCTGGCCAGGTGCAAGTGGCTCACACCTGTAATCCCAACACTTTGGGAGGCTGAAGGGGGCGGATCTCTTGAGCCCAGGAGTTGAGACCAGCCTAGAAAACATGGTGAAACCCGTCTCTACAAAAATTAGCCAGGCATGGTGGTGCGTGCCTGTAGTCCCAGCTATAGCTACTCAGGAGACTGAGGTAGGAGGATCACTCAAGCCCAGGAGGTTGACGCTACAGTGAGCTGTGATTGCGCCATTGCACTCCTGTCTATCTCCAAAAAAAAAGAGATTTTTTTCCTCTTCTGACCTCTGTCCTCTCTTGAGATCATTTATTCAATGTATTTATTTCAGACACACAAAGAATAATATGACCAACATCTATGACCACCTCTGCCCCCAAGAAATAAAGTATTGCAAATCCAGCTAAGACGCCATGCACACACCCCACTGCATAGTATATTGTATGGAAGTAATCCTCTGTCAGTGGGAATGTTTTTGCAAAATACCTTCTCCCGATTACATTCTTCATCCTTTCAATGGGACCGTTCCAGGTGCACAGAACTTTGCAGTTAAATTCTTAACTTTCGTTGTATGACTGTGTGTGTGTGTTTTTTTTTTTCCTTTCCTTATTTGTTTTTTTTTTTTTTAGACAGAGTTTGCTCTTGTGGCCCAGGCTGGAGTCCAATGGCGCCATCTTGGCTCACCACAACCTCTGCTCTCCCGGGTTCAAATGATTCTCCTGCCTCGGCCTCCCGCCGAGGTAGCTGGTATTAACAGGCACTGCCGACGCTCACATGCCCTGGGGCTAGATCTTGTGTTATTTTTAGGAAGAGATGGGGGTTTCACCATGTTGAGGTGCGAGGCTGGTCTTCAACCTCGACTGACCCTCAGTGAGTCCGCCAGCCTCGGGGGCCTCCACAGTGCGCTAGGAATGTACAGGCGTGAGCCACGC